CTGACACAAAATGACACCAAAGTTCCACATGTGCAGGCTGGATACAATAGTTTGATGATTTCTTGAGCTGTAAGCTTCTGAACCCTGCTATATGCAGTTCTCCTGTCTTTCACCAGTTCATTGATCACAATACACTTAGAACAGAAACAATGTATTTTTTTAAAGTATTAATATATTCCAATTATAATAATAGTTTATGAAATTTAAATAAAAATACGAGAGATCCGGATTATTTCTCATGAAAAATTATGAAAATACCACTCCAGACAACTGGTACCAGAGTTCTGATCTGAAGAGACTTACAAAGCAACAAAATATATTAATTTTGACAATAAGGTGACAAACGGGGCTCAAGGACAGAGTATACTGCAAATAATCCTATTTGACTACCTGACAATTATTATTCTACCATCTGCTAATGACCCAACAAAACCAAAACTTTGCCTGGAGCTTAGCACAGCATAGGGGTGCTCCTTAGCTATTCCCCATTTCCCTTGCTAGCACTAAGGAGGGCTATTGGTGTAAGAGTGTGGCAGAGCACAGGGTGTCTCTGCCACTTTAAGGGCCTGGAGCTGGCAGCCTCCAGGTGCCTGATTAGGGCAGCCGTTTTGAGGCCTAGGCTGCCTATATGAACAAGGCAGTTTGGCTGCTGGAGGCCAGGCAGCAACATTGCCTGGCTGTAGGGCTGCTGTGAATGACCCGGAGGTAAGGGGGAGCTGCAAGGGGTTGGCAGGAGGCTCCTGGTCCTGGGCATGACCTGAAACTGCACCCTGCCGGGAGTGGGTGGTCTGGTGGGGCTCTCAGTGGCACGGGAGCCCCCAGGAAATGCCAGGCCAGTGATCACCCCGGTGAAAGGCGGGTCGGGGAGCCTTAACCCCTAGCTCCTACCACCGGGTGGGTAACCCTATGTTGGAGGGGCCCAGAGGGCGGACCCCAAGAGAGTGTATGGAGTACAGGGCGTGGTGCTGCGGTTGCCCCTAGGAGAAAGGGAGTAGTGGCACAGTGAGGCCCGAGGATGAGAGAGAGGGGCTAGAGACCCAGCCCGAAGGGGAGAGTACCCTCGACTGGCCCATGCTGGGGCCAGGACCAGAGAGGGTCAAAAGGGCCGGGGGCCCACCGCGAGGGACGCCCAAGAGCCGGGGGCCTGGGGTCCCGACTGGCCTGGAGGTGGGCCAGGGCCAG